CAATGAGACAGAATAAGAACAATGGCGGCTTCATTGAAAGACTCATATGAGCTCCACGGCCACACTCTAAAACTGTGGATACAGGAAGCAATAACTCAGGATCATGTCATGCAATAGGAAGAAAAAAAAATAAACCCTGATACAAATAATTGCTTGACTTGCAAAAATGCAAACTCCTGCTGAAGTCGCAGCTCACTCACAGGGACAGAATGTTAAAGAAGCTTTTCAGGGGGGTTTATCTTGGCCTTGTATTCTGTTAATGCTGTTTTATTACTGAAACAGCAGTAAATTTACTCCCAGGACTTTTCAAATAAACCTGGTTTGCTGGCCAGTTTGGCCTTGTACAGAATATGCATGAGGCAGTCACATGACACCATTGAAAGTTGAATTCTTTGCACAAAATGTAGACTTTTACACTTTTGGCAGCTCATATTGTGACAAACACAAATAATTTCTTTCTGATTTCTGTAACAAATAACAGTAGTTTTTTGTATGTTCTCAAAACTCCTTCAGGGGCTCCTAAAAATTCTGTGTGCCTTATACACAGAACATATAGAAGTGGTTGGAGCTGCGGGCAGAGTGTGTAACCATCTTGGAAATCTTAGAAAAACCTTGCTGCTGTGTTGTTAGGACCTCCCTCACGCTGCCTCCCCTCTTCACTCTCCTCTCTCCCTCTTTGCACTAATAGTTCTTTTGTGTACAAGAGCATGTTAAGAGGCCAATGAGCCTGGCCTTAATAGGCCACGTTGCCATAGAAACCACAGCACTCTGGATGTCTGACCTTTGACCCAGTTTTTTTTTTTTTTACCGGTTGTGAATAAGAGTGCAGGATGACCAACCAGGTCACAATAGAGGCCCGGCAAACTGAGGGAGTGCCCCTGTCATAGTCACTTAACTTCATTCCTCTATGGGCTAATGGACACTTTAAATGTGGTAGCCATTAGCAGGATGCTATCTCCTCCACAGGCTTCTCATGGTTAATATAATGTAAACCCAGAGATTCAAGCGTGGAGCTGAAAAAGGGGGCCCCACGTAGTTCTTACAGGGGCCTGATGGGACTGAGTTGTACACAGCAGGGTCAGATATCCAGTCTGTTCATGCTCTCACAAAAAAATATGTTGTTTCGTTCTCTTTGTATCCTCCTTTAAGATATCTTTAATTAATAACTTCCTCCCTGACTAATCTACTTACTTCATAGTGGACCGGATAATAGGACATGGTCCCCATTCAGAAAAATTTGCAGTGGCCCAATGGTGCATTGTGGGTCTGACCAGCTGAGCTGCTTGTCGTTTCCCCATCAATTACACACTAATTAGCACAATGACTGCCGAGGTTTGCTTAAGAATTGTCAGTGTAATTGCCTCTAATGTTGGCAAACAATGAGCCTTAATGCAAACTATGAGACAAGGCGGAGGCTACTTATCACATTGTCTTTGTCCCAAAAGCTTTATCTGTGTTTCATGCATAGATCAGGTTAAGGTGTCAATGGCCCCACATGAGCAGGTGATATCAGCAGAGCAAACCAGGGAGGGACTGTCGTGTAGGGGGCCTGACAGGGCTATTGTCTGAAGTTGCTGTTCATATGGGCAGGGAGACGGTAATTAACACCTCAGCCAAACAGCAAGCTGTGCGGCCCATTTGTTTTCTGTTGGGGGGTAAAAGAAAACAATGGGGAGGGGTTCTCCACACAGTAGGTGATTGACATTATCTGCTGGAGCGATCCGTGGAGGCATTCCTGCTGCTCTGCTATTCACAACAAGTTGGGCGAAGCCATTTCACAAGTGTCAGGCCTCGTCTTTATTTATCGCTTGACTTTGTCTGATTGTTTGCTCTTGACTGATGCAGTTTAGAATAACATACAATAACATATAATCGGTTTTAGGTCGTTATAGTTAATGGGTATATCTACTGCTTTCCGGAGTCACAGTGTGTTTTAAGCATAGTTATTATAGTTTTATATTTTACAGGAATATATGTACTTTTCTGCATTTATATTATTTTTGACTTTACTTTTTGCCTGATTGACAGCCATTATGACTTCTCACCACAGCCCTGAAGTCGGCAGATAGTTGCTAGCAAAGTTTGGGATTTTTTTCTGTCCCTTTGGCAGAGTGTCTGACTTAGTTTGACAGCAAATGTCCAGACATCTGTCTCTTCTCCATGCTCTGATGTTGGCCTGCAGTATGGCACCACACACTTCAGAGATGACAAAGACTCTTGGCTGTGTTTTCCTCCGCTCTGTGAGAGCAATGTAACAATTAGAACCCAGCTCTGGCAGGCCACATGCCCCAGAGCATATGTTGCATTCTCTCTGTTCAAAAAACCAAAGGGCTCCAGTGTAGCTTTTTGGAAAATTTCAGTGGCATCACTGCCACCTTTGTCGCATCTGGGTCCTGTAAAAGTAGCACATTCTACTGATGTCTATTCTGAGTGTTGGAGGCAGCAGGGAAGGCTGGAAGACAATTAGAGAGCTATGAAAATGGACCAGCTAAACTTCACTTTAGTTACACATTTCTTTCAGTACTCTGTCCGAGTCTATTTACCAGAGCTTCCAGCTCCCATGCTGAAACAGACATTGCTATGGGCCCCGACCATATGTCTGTATTTGTATCCAATAAAATAAGGGCACGTGTAAAACATTAGTAAATGTCTTACTCTTAGTCTATCTCCTGTTTCAATCTTTTACTAACATTTAATATCACTTAAACTATGTCATAACTATTTGAATCATCCATTTTAAGTGCTGGCTCGCATCTGGCTGTCCCAACTTTTTTTCTTACACTTCCCTTGTGGGTTTTTTTTTTCACTGTAACACTGAGAAAGTTTTTGCTGAGCAGCATGGCCCACAATTCCTCGCCTTTTGTTTCCTGAAACAACTCATAGACCCAAACACCCTCCCTCTTTCTGCCTCTCATGTGTTAGTGCTGTGCTGCCGTAGTCTGGACCAGAGCTAATGTGACAGTATGCGGCTGGCATTACCTGGCTGGATGTTTCAGGGAGTGTGTGAACAGTTGCTCCATAGGGCACACTGGCAATTAAAAGAAAAGTAGGCGCTCAGAAAAAAGTGCCTGGGGGCATGTTCCTCGGTCCTGGCAGAAGCTGTCAAATAAGGGATGGATTGGGTGGGAGAGACGGGGTGGGCACGGCCGGGCAAGACCAAACGCTCACAATAGCGCTTGTTTCATTTGTGGAAGGACTCATGATTGACATAGATTAGACAGAGAAAACTGCATTGTTTTGGATTTTCTCTCCGGAGAGTAGCATTCATTAGGCACCATGCACACAGCAGAGTAAAGTTTCAATAGGGAGCTAGCAGCCTCTAAAAGCAACTGCCTCCTGACAGTTGTATGGACTTGGGCCCATTAGTTGGAACCTACGATTCAGCCTTGAGCAGTATACTGAAAATGAAGAGGGCTGATGTCAACTCCAAGAATTTCCCCCCTTTTCGAAGGGAAAAAGGGTCCCCTTCCCCCTGCCTCGGTGCTCTGTTGGACCCCAGCTGTCAGGAAACAATACCCTCTGCCTGCTCCGACAAACTCATTCCTGAAAATGTTTTTTTTCCCTCCTCTCCCTTTTCCCCCTCCTGCTATAATGTCTTTTCCATTTTTAACCCACAGCCATCCAAGCTTCCTTCCTCCTTACAAACCCTGAGTGATGAATGAAGTTTTAAAAATCAGAACCTGAATGCATGACTCTTCCAGTTTGCTTGTTTGTCATCATTTATCCTGCACTTTTTAAAAGTAGACAAATCTTTGCATATATTCTTTAACTGGTTTCGTCAGTCATTTTTTCTTTAAGTGGCAGATACTATTTCTTGTCTTTTCCTTTCATCAGGTGTTTGCTCTGGGTGGACGTCAAACTGTTTTGTGCATAGGAATTCATAAGTGCAATGCTATGTAAATAAAAACGACAGTATACGTTGCAGAATGATAACAGAAGATGCGTGGCGAATTTGCGCAATCGGCTCTCACAGACAGACTTTGTGACCCATAATACACTTCCAAGCCCAAAAGGCAACTTAAATAATGCACTACGATACGTTTATGTTTCTGCACTACATGGGCCTGAATGAGCCAAACATAACCTATAATATAAAACCCTTTTAATTAATTTGAAATTGTACCAGGGAGAAAATCCACATGCATGACAAGCTGCTGTGTCCGGTATTTAAACTGATTCATAAACCAGATGGTTGAGCCGTGCTCTTGGAGCTCTGGCTTCATGCTATCTCCGTGGCTGGAGGAGCAAAAAAAAAAAAAAAAAAAAGTTCAGCGTGTTATATCAAGCAATAAATCACAAAAAACCTCTCTTGGAGTACACAGCTCTTACTTCATGTCACAGGGCAGCAGTTATATGGTGGTGGAAATCTTTGTGACGTGAGGAATAAAAGAGGGAAAGCAAACACTTGCACAACCCTTTATGATAACTTTGATACACGTGTGAAAAATAATGATACTGAAAGTAGGAGGGACTACGTTTGGGTCAAAAGGCCAAACCAATTGAGACGGGTGGACAGGAGTTAGCTTCACGTCTGCAGCTCAACCTTTCGCTGCTCTGTAGACGGGGCTTCCTTCCAGCTGTCTCTTCCCACCCGCTCAGCGATGGGCGCCCACAGCTGGCCTCTTGTTTTTCCTTGACAAACGGCAATTTCACAGTCCTCCACCAGTCCGTTGTGTTCACATCGCTTTCCCTACTCTCCCCCGTGCCAGAACTCACTGTCTGACTCTAGCAGCAATGTGGGTCCCGTACAGGTGTCTGCTGGAGATCTCTGCGGGCTTGACACCATTCATACCACTTTTGCACGCTCTAGGAAAAGATTCAGTCCCCATGGTTCAGTAAAAGTAAATAATAGAGAGATTTTTTTTTTGTGAAATATAGCCTTCAATTTAGCTTTTTTGTCTGCATTTTGTTAATTCTTGTTCATTTGTTTCTGTACTGTATATGTTTTTCCTTGTAGTGCGTCTGGTTCTGTTGTATAATTTATTTTCTCTCACCCACAGTATCTGCAGATGAAATGGCCTCTTTTGGACGTCCCTGGATCTGCAGGACTAAAAGACTCCCGTTCTCCAACACCTGGACATTTAGTAAGTAGACATATACTCTCAAAACAAACCAAAACATTTTTTTTACTATGACAAGATCAAGCCAAGCTGCGATGTAAACACCTAAGCAAGATTTTGTATCAGAGTTCAGATCAAATGTGGAGTCAGGAGTTCATCAATATGTTATCTTTATATTCATCAATATTTCAAATTACTTGGTTGGTTGGAGGAGGGGGGGGGGAATCATGATTTCTGCAGTACAATTTTACACACTAAATAACTGAGCCATGGTGCTCAGGAAATTCATGAACCCGCAGAGTCCCACCAATTTCCCCTCCCTTATTTTGTGACACTAATAAGATGTTTCCTCCGAGCCACATCCTACGGGACATTAACCCAATTATCAAACAAATCATGTAAACTTATTGGGGGAATCAGTTTACTGCGAACCATATAAATGGTTTAACCAAACTGTAACCGTAATGTGGTTATTCACAATAATGAAGTTATTGTGTGCATGTAAATGCGCTGGTTCCCATCCATCCATGCACAGCCCCCTCCCCCCCCACGACACCCACAGGCCAGTCTGTCTGCCTTTACCACAATAACTCAGCCTCCACCATAAATCCCTTAAGTTTGAACCTCCTTGCGATTCCTGAATTTTCCCACACAGGTGTGAAGTAGTCATCATGGTGTCTCACTCCGGTTAGACAATGCGGGGCCTCAGCGGACCTGTTTGGCTTGTGGCTTCGCTGAGGGATGTGTGTTTGGGGTTTGAAAACATTAGATAACATGGAGCCAAGAGCATCTATCTAGCATCTCACCTGTTTGATAGTATCAAGGCGTTTTCTGGTTCGGGAAGTTATGTTAAGCAGTGCATGGAGCAGAAAACCACTGTCACAACACTTTAGTAAAAAAGAGCCGTTGTGACTCAGCCCCTTGACCTTACATATCCTGGCTAGACGTGCTTTCTGAGTTTGTGGTTGATTCGCTGGATCCTATAATCGCAGTGATGCACATGACAAAGTCCTCATTGAGAGCAGTCAATGGGAAATTGTTGTGAGGGGGACTGAGTTTGCTCATGGGAATCCAGGACTGACTAAAGTCTCAATGGAAACCAAATAAAGATATTTTATTAGAATAAATGCTGACCTATGAGTGACCCTGTTGATTTTCCTTTAAGACACAGCAGCTACTGTGTGAAGTTTTGTTGCAGCAAACTGATTTTAAGTAACTTAGCTGATGTGTGACATTACGAAATGTATGAATCCACATTGAGGGCATGCAGAATAAAGACAAAAGGTTGAAACAATAGATTCTGATAGAAGCGTTGAATTTAAGGGAAATGAAAGCACATTGACTGAGGTTGATTTCTTTGCTTGGATTGTTTCTGTTCTGTTCTTCAGCGGTTGTTGTTGCTTTTCATGTGGCTCTGTGTTTGTGCTTTTCAGCTTCAGTTTGGCCTTCATCTCTTTGAATGTCATTAAACAAAAAAATCAATACAAAAAGACACAGTGTAGAAGACAGAGAATTCAAAGGATCAGCCTGTTTTCTAGCAGAAATGTTACTCACAGTGTATGAGTAATGAGTATCCTTCACTTTTGTGTATGGAAATATGTACATTCATAAAGTTTACAATGTTTGTTCTTTTATACGTTATTTAAATGTGCTCATAGGAGCTTGTAAATACCTATATAGGTTCTACATTGTTAGATAGATGCTTTTTTTTGTAATCTCTTTTTCAATTAAAGTCGATAGTCTGACTTTTTAAGGGAGACAAAGCTGTTTTACTGGGAAGTCCAAGGCCAAACACCTCAACTTTAAATGACCACATAAAAGAATATGAGATACATTGTTGTTCTAGAACTCATGTAACACTTTCATTTAAAAGTAGTGTAAGAGGTGGGGAAGTTCATTGAAAGTGTAACAGCTTTCAGTATGTGAACTAGAAGAGGAAGTCGCCATGCTTGATCTGGTGACCTGCGACCAGTGGGTCATTTGATGTGCAGTGGGAAGCTCTAATGCCGGTTACGGTGTACCCTGGGCTTGGAGGATAGAAAGTGAAACACCCCGCTGTGGCCTTACCCCCCACTCTGGGCCAGGAGCCCACATGCCCCTCTGGTGTGCTGCTGCTGACAGGGAGCCAGGCTGATTATGTGCTCATTACTCCAGCCGAGGAGAGAGAGGGAGAGTGGGAGGGGAGCAGCAGGCTGGCTCCCCAGGCCTGCAGGCTCCCCAGACCCCAACACTGCACTAATGAGAGCAGGGGGAGCGGATGGGCACACACGGGGGGCCAGGGATTACTGCCCAGGGCCAAGAGGAGCCAGAGAAAGAGACCCGAGGAGAGGAGGCGAGGAGACGCCAGCAGGGACTCCTGCAGCAGACCTGTACTCCTGCAGTCATTCTGCAAGCATGTGTTAAATCTGACATTGTTGTTTTGTTTTGATGATGGACTGAGCGTTTGGACTATCTCTCAAGATCTGCCACGTATATCTTAAATTTTACAGGCATGTCAACTATGCATAATGTTAGTTTACTGATAAGGCTTCCACAGACATTTACTTTAGTTGAGAGGCCAACTCAGTCAACCGCCTCTGCAACAGATTAATAAATCATTAAAAGGCTCGCAGCCACATGAAGACAATGTTGATATTTAGATTTTTCTGTGAATGATATCCTCTCACATTCCTACATATGCCTGCGGAGATCAGTGCAGTTATTGTTGCTTTGTGGAAATTGCTTTGACATTTGGCAATGGAACAAGAGGATGCGAAAGAGAAATCAGAGCATTCAGTAGATACGAAAGTCCAGGGAAAGACCATCCTGTCACTGTGCAGATTGGGTCCATAAGGCCTGTATGCTAATCGGAGCCTGCTATGGCCAGAGATCCTCAATTATTCAACAGACAGGTTTGTTTAGCATTCAGTTGGTATTGCTTTTGGTAGTAATGGTGGTGGTGGGTTGGTGGGAGGACTGGGAAGAAGGGAACAAGCTTTTCTATGAACATACCGCACCCCACCGTGCACACACACACACACACACACACACACACACACATGCAATACACACATGTCCAGCACCCCAAAACCCCCATATAAGCTCCTGTGTTCAGAGGGCTGCCTCTTCATGAATAATACATCAAAGGCGCTGCAGGGCCAGGTGATGCAGTACGGAGAACTTGTCAGCCCATCAGTAGTGGCTGGGCTGGACCAGTGAGGAGAGGAGAGGAGAGCGGAGGAGAGGAGAGGAAGTAGAGGTGGCAGTGCTGTCTGAATCATGTGCGCCTCGTACTCATCTTGCATAACGTACCGATTCACAGTCATTAACACTCCGCTGATAATGATGTCAAGGCTGCGCACTTCCCCCTCTGAGGTCATTCAGTCACTTTCAGTAATTTGTCCGTAAGGCCTATTCTCCGCGCCATTACCGACTACACTGACTAGTACTGTTAGTCTGGATTAGAAGGAGCTGTGACTCTCTAATGAGGCAGAACTGACCAGAGTGCCTGCCTGTCAGTTACTTATCAGATCACGGCGCACTCAGTGCTCAAATATGGGCTGCTCTTCACTTGACAGCGACACAAGAATCGCCCTCTTTGTTTTAATATTGTGTTAGTGTCTAGAGTAATCAAGGCACAGAGGGACATGGTCCTGTCATCGTGTCATAAGTCACTTAGTCACCGAATTGTTTAAGTGAATTGAAGTGGCAAGGGTCTAGAGCAGCATACCAGAGATGCCTTTTGTCTCCCTGCATGTGTCTGGTGCAATTTTCAACCCTCTGGGCTCTACGACAGTTTAAGTAAAGATATTAACTGAAAATATGCTTTTTTTTCTCTATCAGCACGATACATATCCGCGCTTTCGACCCATATTCTTTCAACAGACCTTTGACTTGGAGTCCGGTGAGATTTTCTCGTTTTGCATTAGGCAGTGAACAACCGGGATCCATCATGAAATCAAAGGCTTTGGGAGGACTGAACTGAATACTGATCTAAGGTCTGCAGTCCTGCTGGGCCACTGCAGAGACGAGATCCTCTTCAGAAATGGAATAAGGAACCGGTGTTTTGATTCCAGTCAAGCTCAGATTCAGGATCGCAGAATGTGTGAAATTACTGTTTATTAGTGGCAGTTTTACTAAAGGAATGCTAATGTATATCTGTCAGGTTACAAATATTTATTACCACACTGAGATTTGTCTATGTTTGTGTCCATATATACTGTGCTTATTTTGTTAGATCTCTCTTAATTTATTTAATGACCACTGGGGACATCTTCTCCAGTAATATGACGCCACTCTGCGCTGTATTATTTTAAGCTAGAATATTACTGCCATTGACCTTTTCGGAGGCGATGACCAGACGTAAAGCACACGTTGTCTGTGATGAATGGCATAGTTTTGGAGCGGTTGATTTTAAAGACATACGACACGGTCAGTCCCCTCTCACGTCCGCTTCCTGTTGGCGTTGACAAACAAGGCTTGGATTTCTCAGCATGCCAGGCATTCTTTTCACCCTGTCTTTCCTGGAGTTTTGAAAGGCCTCTGAGCCTCCCACCCAGAATCACCGAGCATAAAGACACACAAAGCTGCGGGGTTATTCAGTTTGTTCTAAGCTCTCTTCCCCATCGGCTGTTTGCCTAGTAATTCAATTCAGATGTGCAGGATCCAAAAACATGTTTGCTTGAATGAAATCCACCCCTCCACCCACATTGACCAAGGACTATGCTTTTCTTAGCACCGTTCCAAGTTGGACAGCCAAGCGAGGTACTGCCACCTCGGCCTTTTTAGTTTCAAACCCTCTTAAGAGACAGACATCTTTTCTCTGCACCGGCTCAGCAACTTTTTGCTGTGTTTTTTCTTCCCTTTAAACCTTCCTGTTACTATGTCCAATTGCTCTTAAGACCAGTTCTGGGTGTTTTTACTTGCTAGCTGAGAGGTATGCACCACTTCAGACCTGTTTGCAACAAGCACGTCTATGTAGAGAGCATGATTTCTGTCAGTCGATGTAGTTACCATCTGGTTCCAGGTTGCCCTTTATCTGTCCTGTCACGTACTGTAGATGTTGTTTATATTTAAAACACGGCTCATGTTCTTGTGGTTTCCTTATTACACTTTGCTTGCGGACCATGAAACTGTATGAAGCTGTGGGCTAGAGGAATATTACCTCTACACATAGAGCAAGTGAAAGAAGGCATTGATACATTAGTGTTTAGTCTTAAGTCACGATTGAACCATTAGTCTAGTTATTCAGTGTTATAAAACCACATGTTATGCTTTCAGAACTCTGGAGAGCTTAATTAATTAAAATTAGTTACAAAAATGATGCCGATTTTGATCGATTTAATTAAAAAATGTCCTGATTTAAAGAGAGGAGTTTGCTTGATGAACTAGCCATATTTATTCCTTAGGGGGAAACTCTGGCAGGTAGGATGCGGGTCAGAATAGTTTTGCATATGTGCAACCTGCGTACTCCATTTTTCTCCACATTCTGCCTGAACTGGAAGGCAGCCACGGAGTTGAAACTAGTGCCTTCAAACTTAGAAATATGTTTAGAGCACACGATTGGTGTATTCCAGGATATGAATAATTAATAGGCATCATTTCAAATTCTCACTGAAGTGCTTCCCAAAATGTGTTGGCACCCAGGTCTAGAGGTCTCGAACAGCCCTCACAATATAGGGAAAATTCAGGCATATTGTACATGAAGTAGAACAACAAAGCACAACTCAAATATACATGACATGTGGGACCTGGGATTTCAACCCAGCACGTCAACACTATTTCTGCCATGAAGTCATATCAAAGCCTTTTCTGTGTTGTGTCAAATTGTGTTCTCTACGCATCATCGTATGCATTGACCTTATATGCTCTAACTGTGGAGAAACCAACCCAGAGCAAAGTGATCTTAATATAGCCATGTTTAACACCAGTAAATATTTTCCTCACTCCATCTGGCATTACCAGAATCAAAGCGTGCTTTAGACGTGGGAGAAACCAATTTGCTAAAGATTTAAAAGGAGGAAAAGGTTGGACCTTCCTTTAAATAAAAGTGGCAGAAGAAAAAAAAGCTACGATTTGGAACAATTCTAAGCAGCGTGAAGCAAGGGAGTGTACAGAAGTCTCAATGCAAACCTTGTTCCCCAGCAGACCACGTTGGAGAGAGACGAGAGGTTGAGAAGGGGGTGGGGAGGGATATTGAAGAAAGGTTAGCCTGGAGGAACAAGACTCCTTTCTCCCCCCCTCCAACCCACCCCGCCACCCCCCCACCCCTTGACCCTCCCATGTGACAAGTTGAGCCAACAAGTGCTCTATTCAGCCAGGCAGCCAGGGGAAATGACTGCGAGGCTGAGCGATGCCTAATGAAAGTAGAGACGCTGGTTATTATTATTATTGTCTTCTTCATCCTCGTCACAGGCGTAATGCCGGTCAGATCTCGACAGGCATCTGCACTTTCTCAGTGCGCGTGAAGTGTTGTTGAAAGAGCTAAAGGAGCCACACAGCGTGTAAAAGGAAGTTCTATCTCTGGATTTCGTTCTTCCCCACTTATCTTAACTTATACAGAATTGTAATTGTTTTTCTAACATTAGGTCATCTGTAGCGTAACGTGGCAGTGTAATAATCCACCCATAGGTGTGTGCTCATTCCCATCAAGTGACTGCTGTCAGACAGAGTGGGAGATGATGTCTCCACTTGTTTATGGGTATTCAGTTTACCGTAGCCTGATTTTGTTTGTTTGTGGCTTGCTAGTGGGACTTTTGGACTCGGTGGCACCGTTGTTTTTCTTGTTGGACTGAACAAACAGTTCCCTCCTCAACTAAATGACCGTAATGGTCTTGGCATGTGTCTGCACGGCTTTTTAGTGTTTCCTGGTGCTGGTCCAGATTGCATCACAGGGCCGGTCACACACACAGGCTGTGATGTTTACCATGAAGGGCATTCACACATGATGCCCTGTTTACTCCATGCATTTGTTTTGAACAATGGCCAACAGAAATCATGTGCATGTATACGGTTTGGGATAGTACCATTATTGTTTCAGCTACAAGCAAAGAGCCTTTGATGGATTCACTCTGTTTTGAATGTCACGTGTCAGACACTTGTTGCATATTGGTCACCACCTGCTTATTTGTGTCTCTTCTTGTTTTCTGCTTCATCAACAGTCCAATAAAGTCCCAGTGGTGCAGCACGCCCACCATGTCCACCCACTGACGCCTCTCATCACCTACAGCAATGAACACTTCTCTCCCGGCACGCCGCCATCACACCTCTCCCCAGAGATCCTAGACCCAAAGACAGGTACAGTCTCATGGATGGACATTGATTCACTTACTTGTAGATCTTAAAGTGATGCTCCACATAAAACATGTTAGTTGTCTTAAAAAGATATGGTGAGATGTAAAAACTGTAGTTTTTTATGGAGCTCAGAGCTTCACTTACAATTAACTCACACAGTGACCACTTGTCACAAAAAGTATTGAAACATTGACAGAAACCAGGAAGCAGGCACTTTAACATGAGCTCGATTTGGTCATGAAGTTTAAAAAGGAAACGTGTGTTTAGACATATTTTGCCCAAACTATTTCTGTTTGGAACTTAATGAGCACATTTCTGTGGACTTTTTGTGCACCTTGAAAACTTTAAAATCACCGCAGCTGCTGTACCCTGTGAAGGATGAAACTAAACATGTTTATGTAGCTACCTTTCAAACCTACACTCAAAAGACTTTAGGTGGAGTATCAAGAGTCTGGCCAGAGGTTATTAATATTGTTTTAAATAACTCCAATGAAAATAGCAGCTATGTACCTCATTTTAAACGCTGCTTTTTTCTTTCTGTGGCACCTGCAGGTATTCCTCGGACACCTCACCCATCAGAGCTCTCTCCATACTACCCCCTGTCTCCTGGTGCTGTTGGTTCCATCGCACACCCCCTGGGCTGGCTCATGCCACAGTAAGTTTTATTTTCATCTGTCCACACAGCCAGTCTTGTTCTGAAAAGTTTGAGAACTGTAGTACTGATGTTAGTGACTAAGTTAAACAAACTACTTGTGGCGAGTTAAGATTTAGGAAATGCAACAGTTTTTTTGATAAGTCAAGTAAGTAAAAAGAAAAACTGCAGACATTTTTGTTTAAAGCAATATCTGATTTTGTATGCTCTAAGTGCAGGTGCACCATATCAGAACAATAATAAATTCAAACATTTGAGTTTACCAGGAGGAATTTATGAACATTTATGGGTTTCGCTACGGCTCTTGTAATCAATTGCAACGGTGCTGTTCCACAAGCAGGGGATTTGAGTTGATGAGTAGAGGATTAGTGCTGGTGGGTTAGCTGTCAGCTGTGTTTGATCCACCTCACACTGGAGCTTTCGCTCACTCTGTCTCACTCTGTCTCCCTCTGTCTCTCAGGCAAGGCCAGCACATGTACTCCATCCCTCCAGGGGGATTCCGTCACCCCTATCCAGCGCTAGCAATGAATGCATCCATGTCCAGGTGAGCGGATCAAGTTTAGCAACACCCCCACCCTCCCAAAGGGAGACACCTAATATCTGCTGCTTGTATGACATGCTGTAATCACATTTCTCTGGCTTTCTTTGCCAGCCTATTTAAACGCTTGGTAAAATAAATGACTGGTGTGCAGTTTTAAGCTCCCATTGTTTGCATTGTTAAACAGTTGAAGCAACATTTTATGGAAACGGCGGAAATCTTTTTTTGGCTAACATACTTTCCACTTCTGACAAACATTGTGAGATCACGGGCAGGCAGCGCTGTTAGGACTACAAAAGGATGTGAGGTCTATCACAGACAAGTTCAGCTTCTTAAATAGGGTGAACGCATTATTAGCATTCAGTACTCCTCTCCTGTCTTTTCTCTCAGAACTAAACTTCTGTGGTCAGGCCAGTGTTCTCAGCCACTCCACAACACACACACACACATACAGCAGAGATGAAAGGGCTGAGAATCGATTAGGACAAATCAAAGCTCATCTGAACCTACACGTCCCATCAGACTTAACTCTCTCACCTTCATTCAAAATTGGGCAGATTTGTAGGGAGCCTTCCGGTGTTAGTATGAGAGGAAATATTCAGAAGGGTGTCTGTGATCAATAGCATGTGTAGCTCCATCCTGAGGTGGACTCGCAACAATCAGGACATACCTCACTGATGTTTTTATACCATTAAATCCATCACATTTAGTGCGTTCCGAATATTGCATCAATACACGCAGTTTCATGGCTTACAATGGGCTGTCTAGCCCAATAAGAAACCTAATCATATTAATAATATTTTTCAGATTATTTGTATAAATTCAAGTAAGAATAAACTCTTACGGCAACAACCGAGGTTACATAAAAACGACTGCATTACTAATGCTAATGGGAGCATTATTTTCAATGTGAAGTTTAACTGCATGTCATCACTTGCAGCAACATCGAGTTATTCATCAGGGAGTAAGTGGGATGTTTACAGAGATACTCTGTATAGGTTTATTACCAGGGGAATGATATGGCACCTCCTTGTTTATACAGCATAAATTATTAAGTGTTTCAAAGGAAAAATGGAAAATAAAGCAAAATACCAGTTCTTAATCACAGATATTTTATCAGACTTCATCTATTTACCCACACTTTCGCTCATACTGTGTATTCAGTCAGATATTGAATTTTGATTGAGGAGTTAAAACAAGCTCTTAACTGTATTTCTGTGGGAGCATTTGTAACCTGGACTCCGATGTTGTGTTTGGTGATTAGAAAAGCCAACTTAACAGCTGATGACTCTGGACTCAATGTGAGTACATAGCTGCATTATCTCTCGTGGCCTGTTAAAAGAGTTTAAATAAAGGTATTTTACAATCTAACATTAACGAGAGTGTGTTATAAAGGGATATGAAGCTTAATTTTCCCCGTTGTTCATTACAATGCTCCATTGTATTAACAATTGGTAATTGAGAGAGACACTTTGTAAAGGTGTTCTGTGTGGACAGCTGTCAGAACACTCTCCATGGTCTGGAACATGGTAAGGAAAGTGGTTTCAGGTGTCACGGCCATGCTGTCACCATGGTAACAACACACTCCACTTTTCTCCAGCCATTGCTGAATAAAGGGGCTTTTGAAAAAGTCTTTATTTGAACAAAAAGCAAGCATTTCACTCATTGTGTGTATGAATTTAGTCTAGACAGATGCAGTAGGCACAGTGAATTTTACCCGCGGGGTAAGGCAGGGCACTTATGTGCCAAGTTAGCTCAACCTTTTCTTGTCAGGTGAACAGAGGTTCGCTGTTAAACCCGACTGTTAAAATGTTGCCTCCTTTTGCCCTCTCAGCTTGGTATCCAGCCGTTTCTCCCCTCACATGGTGACTCCACCTCCGCACGGCCTCCACCAGACTGGCATTCCCCATCCCGCCATTGTCTCGCCGGCTATCAAACAGGAGCCCAGTGGTGACAACATCAGCCCCTCAATGCATGCGTAAGGAGAAGTCTTTTTTTACCAAATCCTGTTTTTGTCGCTGCACAATATTTCCTCTTGTTTGCCATAATTCACCAGCACCTCTCCACTATCCACGCTTTAGTAACAGCATCTTTTTAATGTTTCGGATTAGCAGGAAATCCCCCGTTCCTCCCAAGAAAGAAGAGGACAAGAGGCCTCATATTAAGAAACCTCTGAACGCTTTCATGCTGTATATGAAGGAGATGAGAGCCAAAGTAGTGGCAGAGTGCACTCTGAAAGAGAGCGCTGCCATCAACCAGATCCTTGGAAGACGGGTAAGTAGCACAGACACAGTGTGTGTTAGTTTATGACTATATATCTGTGTGTGTGTGTGTGTGTGTGTGTGTTCAGCAGTCCTTTGATATTTTCTGTCTTTGTCCACAGTGGCATTCCCTGTCAAGAGAGGAACAAGCCAAATACTATGAGCTGGCCAGAAAAGAGAGGCAACTCCACTCCCAGCTCTATCCAGGATGGTCAGCACGAGATAACTATGTGAGTAGCACATTTCCGTTATCAGCTCTTATATTAATGTGTGTAGAAGAAGTTGTCTCACTAGGCTCAGTCTAATATGACTGTGTTGCTTAATTATAGTAATCACACGTTTGTTCTCATGAACCAAAGATGTTGAAGTGGTTTACTTTCAGTATGAAAAACAGCTTTTTAACAGCTTTGTTTTATCTGTGCAGGGAAAGCGGAAAAAGAGGAAGAGAGACAATAAACCTGATTCAAAACCAGAGGGTAAGAGGGATTTTCTTCCCAACCGTCTTTAGGTGTTTTTTTCTTCTCAAACCGTAATAAGAAAGAAAAACTGTAGAAAACCAAAACCAAAGGTTTATTTTCAAATGCAGCCTGCGACACTGCACCGTTATTCTTTTTATTTCCTTTTTTTGCATGCCGTCTTTTTTCACTAACACTTCTTTCCCTGCTTCTTTACTTTGACAAGCAGCTTATGAGGTTCAGTGCTAATAGTGGCAGGTATGTCTGCTGTTGTGCAACCAAGTGATCACTGTAATTTGCCCAAAATATGAGAGCTTTCCACACTTCAGCGCACATTTTAATGTAGTGTGTCATGTTCTTTTTTTTGCATCACAAATGCATAACATTTGAATATGTTAAACATCCTGTTTCACCCTCCCTGTTGTAATGTGTTTCCAGGTTGATTTGAACATGTCATGTTTCAGAGCTTTCACTGCCATCATCTTCACTGTTTTAATAATCACTCGTTCACTTCTGTCACGGCAGCATTGAGGGACATGAACCAGATTTGAAGCCAGCAGCAGATCCATAATTCAGCTTCTTCTCTTCTACTTTTCTTTCCCCAGACTTCTCGATAAGAAGCAAGAAGCAGTGCGTGCAGTACCTGCCCTCGGAGAAGATGTGCGACAGCCCTGCGTCGTCCCACGGCAGCATGCTGGACTCACCAGCCACTCCCTCCGCAGCCTTGGCCTCCCCGGCTGCTCCCGCCGCCACTCACTCCGAGCAGGCCCAGCCGCTATCGCTCACCACCAAACCAGAGGGACGCATGCACCACCACCACTTCTCCCTAGCTGGGAAGGCTTCTGGATCCACGTCCTCTTCTTCCTCCTCCTCCTCCTCTTCTTCCTCCTCCTCCTCCCATCCCACCATCTCCATCCCAATTGGTACTTCAGGTAGCCAGTCGACCACACCCATCCTCACCCGGCCAATCCCCTTCACCTCCCTGCACCCTTCCATGCTCTCCCCCCCTTCCCCTTTCCATCAGGCAGCCCTTCACTCCCATCATGCCCTGTTCCAGTCGCAGCCCCTCTCCTTGGTTACCAAACCAACTGAATGAATCCGCAAAGGCAATTTTCTCCCATTTATTGTGCTGTATATTGCTTTTCTTTTAAATAGGTATTAGAACAACTTTTTTTCTAAATAATGAAAAGGAAGAAATATTATTGGTCAATATTTGACTGTCTCCTTTTCTACATCTCTCAATGAAAACAAAATGTATTTTTTGTAAAGTTTACTGCAGAACTGGTTTCTTTTTAATGCATTTATCCAATGAACTTCTTGTATAAAAGAACCAATGTACATAAAGTTTCTTTATAAAATAAAAAAGGAACAAAAACATGTTTTCTTTTTAGCCAAAACCTGATTAATGTTAGTATTAAGTTTAAGTCATAGTACTGGCCAATAATTGCAGCCCCCTTTTCAATTCACGAGTGTGTGCCCCTTCTTTGACATGTTAAATAAACATTTGAAATTGTTTCTTAAAAGAAATGTCTCTTTTTGTCTTTTCACGATCTGTCAGCCCATGTTTTTGTCATTTAATAAGCAGAGGTTTCTTTAACAAGGTAATGTGGTTTGGATTAATATTCTCACTGTAGTGACCACAGTGCATAACACGTTGATAACTGCCTTTTGTAGGTGTTGTGAATGTAGATTTAATGAGCAGTATAATTTTATTACAGCCACAGAGAAATTGAATAAAAGTCCATAACACACCTGCCACTTTGTTAGTCTTGTGTTATGCTTTAGTTCTAAATAGGGAACATCTTCATAAAAACCTTGCTGATGGTGGCAAGGAGTTTAATGTTTAATAAAGCAGAATTAGGCTAACCACACTGGAAAATGAGAGCCTGAACCAGGGTAACAAAATGTGAAGCCCAGAATAAATACAAATAAAAAAATAATAGACATCTGCTCTTTCTCGGCGCATCGCGTCCCACAACAATGACAGAAAAGCAGGTCAGCCCCATCCCAGCACACCGAACCCTGCTCGGGTTCCCTGTTCCTCTTGCACTTTTACTGCATCTTTATTCACCGTTTGGCACACTGCTTAGGCTTTAATTAACTCAGAGGTAATGGGATGGAGCCCTTGGGACCTCATTAGGCATTTCAATTAGTGAAAAATACACAAGGTAGGTTACAGTTTTTGGTGGCTTTGGAGATGAGGAGTAGTGCCAGGGATGGACCAATTATGTCGGAGGGGGGGTTGGTGGGGGGTACTGGCCTGGACGAGCCCACTGATGCCCCCCCCTTTCCTAGATCTTTCCTACTGGGAGATGTACAGAGCTGAAATGTTACTTTTCAGCAGTCTTTGAGCCAGTTGGACCATTCAGTAGTTTTCATTTTAAACAATAATGATCTTGACATTGTCAGAAATATCTAGGGTTTTACTGAGCAAATATAATTTATCATCAATTTATTGTCTGACGTCAGTGTCTCAAGACAGACTTCTTTAAAACACATAGGTGGACAGCGGATGCGTTTCCGTTTGCTCAACCCCCCCAGGTAGAAGCACCAAAGTGTCACTGTCCCCCGCTATGCTTTAAGCAATCATTAGCCATAATAAGTCTTTGCTTGTTTGCCGCTCTATATCTTACATCATTCCAGGCACAAACTGCACAGTCTCTGGTTCCACGGCTGCCTACTCTGAGCCACTTCACCAATCCGTCAGTGAAATTACAGGTAATGAGTTGTCAAAACAGCCAGCAAATCTGTCTCCTCAAGGCCATACAGTACATCCATTGCAATGTTCAATTCTCCTAAGACAGTACCCTTATTATGAAACTCAGTCCCCAGGTGAATGGCTACAAATGTGCTGGTTATACCAGGTTGTTCGTCTATTAAATACATTTCCCTACCTGTGCCTGTTTATTTTTATCTTGAATAAGTTTTATTATATCTCATTAAATCAATTTAAACACGCTGATTTTAAAGCATTGGCATTTTAGCACTGTTTTAAACAAAATATCTATTTGAAATTGAATAAACGGTGTATTATCTTAAAATTCCCATGCTCCACTCAAAATGTAACACGCCACTGTTTATCTCTAATAACGTATCTGGTTGCTGCTCCGCTCAACATCTGCCATGTAAGCACGAGGTCAGATTTAATACATGTTAATTTTTGCTCATTAAATTCTTCCAATCTCTTGCCAAGGTTCTTTTTTGGGCCTTCCTTTGATCTTGAATTTATTCCAGGTTAACCCTTTCAGAGTTCACATGCGTAATATTGCACCAAGAGCTGTCATTTATGAGTCACAAAAATTGTAAAAAAAAAAAAAAAAAAAAAGCAACACTTTAATTGAAAACCACAAAAACACACAGCCAACTGTAACATTTAGTCAGAATACACACAACCACAAGGGCTGACCGTGATGATTTCATATCATTGTGACCTTCAGATAAAGTACATTACGTAAGACTTATCAGAAAATGCTGATTCTATACCCTCCATTGACTTATGACCTTATATTTCCATTAATAACAGGATGCTATGTTTGTGTCACATGTGGTTTCCCAAAGTGATATTAATTGATCGTTTCTGTAACATTCACTGAGCTTAGCTAGACTCAGCTGGTGCCTTTGTGAAGATAGGTATGGCTGGCTGTGAGCTTAAGAACCTCCTTAATGTATTATTCATACCCATTTGACCTTAAAGATGGAAATGCAAATGAGTGTCAAGAATGAGAGGGATCATCGGACTTTTCAAATGTCAAACAGCCTGCCACAATTAAGACATATTCATTACAAGAACCCACAGGTCCCCCGCACCCAGCTGAGATGTAAAACACCTTCAATTAACATTTGGATGATTATCTCACCTCCAAAGCTCCTGCACACCTTCAATTGTAAACCCTATAATGTTGCTATACTTTACTTTATGTTAATTATTTTACTTAATGGTATTTTACTATCTAGAATTAACACTATTTTGTACAAGTTATTAGAAGATAATCTGTTAGTTTTTGCAAACCCACACAATCACATAAAGTAATCCGATGTCATGATGTGCTTTTTCACGTGGTTTTTCTTTTTTTCACTGTATATCAATACTGCCATCTGCTGATAAGGTCAAATACTGGCACAACCACCACATGTGGAGTGAATATCCCCATCATTTCAGCACCTAACCTATGGGAGGCAGTATTAACACAAATGTTATCTCCTCCTCTCCTCCTGTGGTGGATCGTTAGGGAAAAAAAGAAAAGAAATCTTGTATAATAATAAATCTAACATTTGTTCGGTGCTCTCTGTACCTTTACAAGTCCAGGTCAGTTGAGTACAATGGGATGTAAGTACAATAGGAGGATGTCAGCCACACATACAGTAGAATCTGTATCTGCATCTGGTCTAAATATTTAGTCTCCGTTTCCACATTTGTCACTCAAATGAAACCAAATAATGCAGCCATGTCAGTCCTGTCTTTCAACTGAGTATCTGTCTATACCAAGATTTAAGATTGGGAGGGTTACTTTAAAAATGTAATCCAATCAAATTACTAATTACCTGTTAAAAACTGTAGTCAGTAACCTAATCCAAGTATCACAATATAAAGATAACACAATTACTTTCCATTACTTTTACCTCAACACCAAATATGGTAAATAAAAGCAAGAGAAATGTCAATAAGTAGAACAGATGCAAGTGTATTCAACAAGACAACAGAACAAAGGAAAACCGATGTATGTTAAAATTGTAATATGCTAAATAATGTTTTACTATTTTTTACTAAATGTAACTGTAATCTGAGAATATCTTTTTTCTGAAACTGTAATGGATTACATTTTCCTTTACTGTATCTGGATTATGTAATTTAGTTACATGTAATCCATTACTCCCCAAGCCTGCCAAGATTCACAGACACAGTAAGCTCAAGTCAATAGGCCAAATGAGCAAACATGCTCTGTGATTCCTCAAAAGCTTACGCAGTTTACAGGGATAAGTATATGTATATGTGGAGTAAATGGGCAATAATCATTTTTGAAAAGGGGACGAGGAGCTTTAACAACCTCCCAGTTTGAACAATTGTCATATAGGGAATGAATAAGTGTGACTTTAACTCTTATCCCAGTGACTTTGGGTTGAGATTTAGATTTGATTGTGTCTAGTCGGATAATATCTTGTTGCTAAATTGGTGGATTCAAGGTTTCAGCGTGAGGGAGTTCACCTTGTCACACCTGATTGGAGGAATCTGAAATAGTTTAGAAAGGTAGATGGAAGCAGTATTTTTCCAGATTATGTTGTGGGAGCTTTATCACCAAACAATCAGATTTGAATGTATAGTTGTGATAAAAAACAGTGAATGTTGGTGTTTGAATCTGATTGAAACTTAAAAAAGTCAGTTATATTTGTTAGTTTCATGTGCAGTTATGTCAATAGTTTTATACAATTCAACCTTAAATTAAAATCAGTTAAATATTGAAGTTTAAAGGACAAATAGGACTGTTTAACCAACAAAATGTGAAGTTTCTGTTTACTGTAGAAGACATTTCATTTTCCAGTAAATAGCCTATATGTGCAACTTTTTCACTGAGCAATACATTCACCTACTTATCCCTTTGTTCCCAGTGAAACATCACACGCGTTCAAGGAAAAGAAAGGTGTGATGAATAGATAAGTCATGCCTTAAGCAAGAAAACAGATAGCCTGCATGAATGCATGCAAAGAAAGGTGATAGTCCCTACATGTCGTGTGAGGCAGCTGCATGGCAATGTGGTTAACTATTGAGAATAAGGGTTGAAGAAAAGAACATCCATTACTCTGGCAAATGATGGTGGCGGAAGAAGGATCGAGATCTTTTACTTTTGAGATCCCCTCCAGACATGTATTAAGGCAAATATACAAATAGTCTGAACAGCAATGTGTGTCTGACATGTTCTTCTTAAATAAAAGTACAATTTCCTCTTTAAGAGCTTTAATCTACTCCTTATACCACATTATACATTTCAAATTATTGGACAGAAGATGTCTCCTACTTGTAAAGTCCATTCTCAGCGTATGTGCACTGGTGGCTTCAGGTTTCTACATCACATGTTTAAGTTGCATACTGGACCAGTGTTGACTTCCAAACTATTTGTCCCCACCCCTTAAAATCTGATTTTCAACAAGCACAGAGAAACTTTCCACTTTCAGCAGATGAATGTGAAAACATCCTTCTAGTATCAAACTCTGCACATACATCATTCTGCACAGTGAAGATTAAACATCAGACTGTAGGAACAACAAGAAAAACATATTTTTGAGGGATTGGGGATACCAAAGTGTATAAGCACACCATTACAAGTAAAGTCATTTTAAAATGTACTTAAATGTACTAAAGTATGTGTTATATTTTACACCATTTCAAATATTAATATTGATGAATCAGTGGCGTTAATTTTAACTACCTTGTACAGTCTAGTTTGGTAGTTTAGTTCGGTGGCTTACAAAATACAGGTCGGGCCCTTCCAATGCCATCACTGGATTAGTTTTCGACGAAATGTATTTTGTTGATCATAACGTCTTTTTAATGTAAAATCATAAAAAAAACCAACTTATCAGAGCTGTCAAAGAAATGTAGGATATGTCCTTAAACTATCAAGCATGCTTTCCTGTAATGTAACTAATATAAAAGGAAGGAAAGAAAGGAAAAGTTTATATAAGATATCATAAGACAAGATAAAATAAGATAAGATCCCCTGTAGGAGAAATTCTAATTAGACACAGCAGCACAGGGGAATGTAGAGCAAAAAGTACAGAAGTACAATAAAGAATCACAAAATAAGAATATTATAAAATATAATAGAAAATATACGACTATAATGAAAAAAATATATACACTATGTGCAATAAAATGGTGCGCAACATATTTTGAGCAGCTTTTGACTAAAAAACTAAACTGTACATGCACAATATAAATAATAACTAATATAAATATAAGAGATTATCAGACCTAGGAGTCTTGTCATTTTCCAAGTATTTTAGATGGCGGCAGCTGCACGTTTTCGTCCTGCGGGGGGCAGCAGCGTCCGGATCCACACCGCCAAAAAACCCCTATAAGGACGACAAAGAAGAAGCAGGCTCGATTTGTACACGGAAGCAGGATCAGACTTGTCAAACGCGTCAAAACCTCCAACCTGTCTTCCCGCATTTGTCAACGCGGATTCCGGCTTGAGTCCGAAGCAGAGACCGATTGAAACAGTGTCGCTTTGTGTTTCTGGTCGGACACAATGAGGACGGCGGTGCTGCTGCTGCTGGCGGCGGTTCTGTGCGGCCGTATGGTCCGAGGTGAGTCTGGTCTCGGTTTGCTACGTTACGTTATTCCTCCATCAGACCTGTCTGTCTCCTCCATAATCCTGTTTAGCCAATTAAGATGGTGCATATATATATATATATATTTCTATATTTATAGAAATATATGGCAAAATATCACATGTTTTAACGAAGAGAAGAACTTCTCTGTTTCACAGTGTCCGGTATTTTACATTTTAATATATATATATATATATATATATATATATATATATATATATATATATATATATATTTATAGCCACATGTACCTGCTGTTTAAAGGAACCGAAACAGGTGTTTTTTAATTTTTTTTTATTTAAATACGTTTTGTGAAAAAGAAATAAGTAATTATTGACTGCAAATAGGTTAAGTTGAGCAATTTATTTGTCACAAAATGAGAAATACGTATAGCAAAACAAACAAACAAACAAACAAAAAGACAGAAACTGATGCTACTTTATTTAGGGCTCCACATTATGTTTTAAAAAAAGAAATATATATATGTATATGTATAATTTAGCTTTTATATTGACATATATTGCGAAATAATTCACAGTTAAGATAAGATAGACTTTATTGATCGCACACTGGGGAAAGTCCCACATTACAGCAGCTCCAGATAAAACACAGCAGATAAACAACAAATAAATACACATTAATTAACAAAATAAAAAAAATACAAGATATAATTAAAAATAGAATTAGAGTTTATACAGCTTTTTATACAGATGTGAGTGATATAGAATATTGCACAGGTTACAGCAGGAGGTATAGTAGCATGGTGTACAAATAAATAAATGCACAGGACAAATGTGTGTATATATATATCCAGCAGTAATTCAGTAGAAAAATATAGGCTAGACAGACCTGTGAATATACAGATTAGTGGGAATGATAATTGTGTGTCACAATTTTAAGATTCATTTAAAAAAAAAAAAAAAAATTGTGATGATGAGACATTTGTTGTGAACACGATTTGTAGGCCAGGGAATATCTACTGTCTGTTCATTATGATGCTGTTTTGACACACTTTACTTTTTATTAAAATATTGCAGCTTCTTGCGATTAAGAGGCAGTAGGTAATTTGAACCCCCTTGTTAGCAGAATGACCAAACTAAATCCCCCATTGTTAACCTGTCATCCCCTCTCTCCGTCCAGAGGTCACTAATAGGGGGAAAAGAGTCCAGGGAGTCCAGTCAACTGTGCATTCAGATAAACACTGCGGCTCTAGCCTGTGAGTGAGATACACACAGCGGAGAGACAACAGTCGGAGTACGAGGAAAGTTATTCGCTCTTAAAAGAGGAAAGTTAAGGAAACTTTCCTTGGGCAAACTTAATATATATATATATAACAACTTAATGTCAAAATTATAGTGTCTTATATATACTGAAGTAGCCGAGTAGTAACAATATTTATCGGCATGAAGGGGGTTAACATAAAATAAGAAAAAGGGAAAACAAGCTAGACTTTTTATTTAAGTTTTCTAAAACCAAGCCCTTGTTTAAAAGCTCCTGCTCTGTATTTTACACTTATCAGCTAAAACATTATGAGCACTGACAGGTGAAGTGAATAACACTGATTATCTGGTTATCATGGCTCCTGTCAGTGGGTGGGATATATTAGACAGCAAGTGAACATTTTGTCCTCAAAGACAGTGTGTTAGAAACAGGAAAAACAAGGGCCAAATTGTGATGGCTAGACGACTGGGTCAGACCATCTCCAAAACTGCAGCTATTGTGGGGTGTTCCCGGTCTGCAGAGGCCAGTACCTATCAAAAATAGCCAGAGGAAGGAAAAGCGGTGAACCGGGGACAGGGTCACGAGCAGCCAAGGCTCATTAATGCATTTATTTATTATTAGAGTACTTATTATTTATAATCTCTCCAGTTCAATGTGAAAACTGACGATAAACATTGTTGGAATATTATTGAATTGTGCTTTATTTGTCAGTTGTTGAGTGCTGACTACAGATGTTGATACAACTACAAGGCTCCTTCAATATAATGGCACTGATTCATAACGCAAGTTAGACATTATGACATGGTTTTAGGCATTGCACTTGCGCCTTTTTCTCTCCTTTCTCTCATAATCTCTAAACTATAGCTTATATACCGTTTTACTTAAGGAAACAGTATTTCCATCACTAGGGTGCTCCCATTGGGCCATCTCCCTTGTTAAACATGAGAAAATCCTGGGACCTAGAACTATTGACACCACAGTCCCATCCCACACGCTGCTTTCCATCATGAACTCTTCCGCCTCCAGGTTCCCCATAAGTGCAGTGTACACAACAGTCTATATATAGCATCTTAATTAAACGCCCAGACTCACCGCACTCTTATTTTGAAATTATCCCACTGTTTTTTTTAAAATTAGTCAATTTGGTTGTAACAATTTGAGCTAAGACAGTTTTAGTTTAGTTTAGAGCACAATATAAACAAAAACAATACAGCTTTTAAAACTAGACTTTGACACACAGGAAGCGCCTTAATTGTTATAATTGGTTCCTTCCCTAACAGATTTTAAAATGTCAGATTACCAAGACCATCTGGGCCCACGTGGCCGTTCCTTGCTTTGCCTGGTCTTTAAGCCAGCCTTGATAAGCAGGTGTATTAATCTAATAGTAATCAGTCACATGGGTACACCTGGGACATTCTCAGCAGCTGCTTAATTATATAAACCTGTACAATCCAATGCAATCCAGTACAGCAGCTCTGCTATAAGTTCATTACATTTAGGAAGCTTATAATGTTAACTTTATGTTGACAACTGGGACCTTTTGTTACGTGTCATTTCCTTTCTCTCTTGCCTCTCTATTGTTGCTGTCCACTAAAGGCATACAAATAATTGAATAAAAGAAGCACAAATAAAATGATAAGCTTTGTAGAAAGTGGCAGCTATGTGTATGTCATTTTTTTAAAAAACAATCCCACACTTCTGCCCAACAAAAAACAACAAACTGCTCTAATATCTGGTATTCACAGAAATTTGACTACATAAAATTCAAAAAACAAGATGTTCTCAAAATTAGGGACGCATGATATGGATTGTACGATTTCAGCTGCTAACCTAGAGATAAGAGATACTTTCGTATTTTTGTTTATAACCTGTAGTTTTTACACACCTGATGGTAACGAAGGCTGAGTTGTAGTCAGCAAATATGATGATTTAATATTCTACAGCTCCGTTATAGTAACTATTGTTAAGTCTTCATATGTTTTTTTTTTTTTTTTTTTTTTTTTAAGTAAAGTATATTGACCGATAATTTATTGACTGTAATTTAATTATCGGGATAACTTATAATAACATAAATTTCCCATTATCGTGACTAAAGATTCCAAGATAAGGTACATCACTCTTCGTTTTTAGGAAACACCTAATTTCTATGAAATAATAGGAATTACAGGTAATTGTATTGTCATTTGTTCTTTTTCAGCCTGTAAACCAAACTCATTTTTGCATTTCAGTGTGTGGAGGTTGCTTCCTCGACCTTAATGTTATGGCCTTTATGCTATGCTTTTTACATTTTATAATCTAATAATCTAATCAAATCATCTCGGCTAATTTAATTCAAGATGGGGAAACTGAAAAGAATAAGACAGAGGACATTGCTAACACGATGGGACAGAACAGACAAGTAGTGCAAAACTAATATTCCAAAGTTTGCAGTGGAAACAAAGAAGGAATAGTAATGAGGAAAACCTAACTTGTGTATCTAGGTCAGCAGTGCAGAACTCACAATGGCAGCATTCATGGCATTTATTATTAGACAGCATTATATTCAGTTGTTCTGTTATTGTCACCGTGCCCTGTGTTCTGCTAGTTAAAAGTTTTTAAATTATTTACAGGGGCTCCAGCAACAAAACCTCAGGCAGTCCCTGATGAGCAAGCCAAACCAAATCAACCAAATCAACCAAATGGCGATGACAATGCAGGATCCAAAACAGGAGAGCATAATATCCCTAAAAAAGCAGCAAGTGAACCAACAGTGAAAACGAATGATGAAAAGTCAGGAGACAAAGGACCAGATCAGTCCACGAACAAGAACCACAAGCATGTAATGGACGGTGTGGACAGTGCACCACAAGCAGTTCAAAATGTTAACGTTGGGAAACAGGAGCAGCACACTGACAATGGGGGAACCAGTGAACAGAAGCCTTCAAACTCACCGGAAGCCAGCAAAGAAGTGCCGGACAAAGGACCTGAGGAGAAACCTGCAGTGTCAGGAGGGAACAAAGACAGGCAAAATGACTCCGAGAAAGACCCCACTGGAGGAAAGCCAGGAGGAGACCCCAACGGAGGAAAGCCAGGAGGAGACCCCAACGGAGGAAAGCCAGGAGGAGACCCCAACGGAGGAAAGCCAGGAGGAGACCCCAACGGAGGAAAGCCAGGAGGAGACCCCAACGGAGGAAAGCCAGGAGGAGACCCCAACGGAGGAAAGCCAGGAGGAGACCCCAACGGAGGAAAGCCAGGAGGAGACCCCAACGGAGGAAAGCCAGGAGATGACCCCAACGGAGGAAAGCCAGGAGGAGACCCCAACGGAGGAAAGCCAGGAGGAGACCCCATTGGAGGAAAAGGAGAAGGAGAGGACGACAAAAACAAGGAGCCAGGAAAGGACACCACTGACGGAGAGGGAGAAGGAGAGGACGTCAAAAACAAGGAGCCAGGAAAGGACACCACTGACGGAGAGGGAGAAGGAGAGGACGTCAAAAACAAGGAGCCAGGAAAGGACACCACTGACGGAGAGGGAGAAGGAGAGGACGTCAAAAACAAGGAGCCAGGAAAGGACACCACTGACGGAGAGGGAGAAGGAGAGGACGACAAAAACAAGGAGCCAGGAAAGGACACCACTGACGGAGAGGGAGAAGGAGAGGACGACAAAAACAAGGAGCCAGGAAAGGACACCACTGACGGAGAGGGAGAAGGAGAGAAGGACAAAAACAAGGAGCCAGGAAAGGACACCACTGACGGAGAGGGAGAAGGAGAGAAGGACAAAAACAAGGAGCCAGGACATGGAGCAACAGGAGAGAGAAATCCGTATGACTCAGCCGGTATAAAAGATGAGGCGGAGAGCAGTCATTTCTTTGCCTACCTTGTCTCTACAGCTGTGCTGGTGGCAGTGCTCTACATCACTTACCACAACAAGCGCAAGGTACATGGCCTTTAGGTTTCACTGAGACGTCCGTGAAAGCATTCTTGGGGTTTCCACTGACCCACATTTGAGTTGCAAATGTAGTCTGTGCATTCTTGTTGCACCAAATAAAGATGTCAATGGAATTTTATAGAAACCCAGATATTACTGAGCTAGACCTTTTTGTTTTATATTCAGTCAGGTTTCCACTACATGCAATGGAATATATATATTTTTTTTTTACAGAGCTAGGCTACCTGTTTTCTCTTTACTGTACCAATATGAGAGTGGTATAAATGGCCTCAAATGACTCTCGGGCAGGAAAACACATTATTTTCCATAAAGGTCCAGTTATTATAGTTATTAAATTAGTTAAAGCAGTTCAACCGTATTGTCCAGTATTGTGTGGCACATCAGGCTTCATACTAATCTGAATCAGTTGAAAATGTTAATATATCTTTCCCTTTTTTCCTCAGATAATTGCCTTTCTTTTGGAAGGAAAGAAATCCAGATCCTCGCGCCGACCTAAATCCACAGAATACCAAAAGCTGGAACAACATGTAAGTTGTTGAAACGCATGTCTTAAAATTAAAAAGTAGTTTTAATCAATTATGTTGTAAGTTGTGAATTTGTCTCCCATTTTCTTTCAGATGTGATCTGAAGTAAAACACTGGGGGTTGTGTGAGAAGTGGGCGAGTGGATAACCGGCGTTAGATATTTTCCTGGTGTCCTCTGCATTGATTTCCCCTTGTGACATTTTTCTATCATGTACCTTTTTAGATGCTTATTGTATGACTATGCAGATGACACTGTTGCCTTATTGAGGGGGATTAGTGAAATGCAGTGAAGGTAAAATAAGCATGCTGTTTTTTGCACTTGTGTCGTTATTCAACTTTTAAAGCAATCTTGTAATTCGACCTGTCCAAGGTTCAGACTCAGGATATTTCAGTAGCAGATATAAATATTAGCTGTTTGGGTTCCAGTCTTGTTTGTACAGTACATTAGTGATTGCACTGTGCACCTAAAATAAGCCATCTGAATCTTTGTAAAATACTGGCTGTGTACCATTTCTTTCAGGTAAATGTATGTTAGATAATATATATCACAAGTCCATTCAGATGTACTAAAGTGTTCAAGATTCAAGAAAACTTTATTGTCATTGTACCACTGTGCAAGACATCAAAAACCTGCGAAATGAATGGGATTTGCGTTCATGACCATATAGTGTTGGCCAGATGAATGTAATGGCAACCTATACTTTTCCAATGAGATGTTAGCACATCGTCTTAAAGGCTGAGCAGATGAAGAAATATGATCAGTTTCTTGCTCAGAGTCAGATGAGAAGATCAATATCACCCTCATATCTCTCTGGTTAATATAACATTGAAGCTACAGATAGCTGCTGGTTAGCGTAGCCAGGCATAATGACTGGAAATGAGGAAACGGCTAGCTCGGCTCTCTCCAAAAGTAACAAAATCTGTCCGGCGCCTTTAAAGCTCATTTAAAAAGCATAAAAATTACATGTTGCAGGTTGTGTTGGACTGTACTTTGATTGGGAGCATTGAAGATGAAAAGTAGCCTCCTATTTGGTGTAGAGACATAAGAGTGGTATCAATCTTCTCATCTAACTCTTGGCAAGAAGAGGACCGAGTATATTCCCCAAAATGTTGAACTGGTTTGAAATACAACTGAACAACGGCTGTCAGGGTGTTGGGAGCTCATGTAAATGCCTCTTTATGTATCCAGGCAATCCATCTTACCAAACTGTCAGCCTGGTTACTGTCTGTCTGTCTGTCCCACACCTCTGTGGCTGATTACACTATTCCACTTTCAGTTGAACGTTTCTAACTTGTGGCTCTGTATTGAAACTGGTCTGGAAGGAAACGGTTATGTAAGAGGACATTGGCCAACAGCTGCATTTGTTTTAACTGTTGGGACTGCACTATGGGAAAAAATGTTTTGCGGGGGATAGGTTGACCACTAATCTTACCGTAGACTAGACGTGTGTGTGTGTGTGTGTTTCTGTTCAGAGATGACAGACTTTGTGCCAAATTGTGAACGATATTACTGTGATTCAATGTGTGATTTTTATTTTTATTTTTTCTGAGTTAACACTTCATTTCTACTGGGTGGTGGTCATAATATATGGGAAGTAAAAAGGAAAAGAAATGTAACCCAATTGTTTCTTGGTAAAATCAAAGTCCAAATTATGTTCAAATATTTATTTTTATTGTGAAATCTGCAAAGATAAGTCAGCTTTTTATAGGCAAACTAGTTTACAACACATTGTTCTTTTCACGAGTGACATAAGCAAAAGAATTAGTTAAAAAATGTAAGGAGTGACATCAGCATGGAATTAGTATGTTTTTATAGCTAAATAACTATCAGATATTTATTTCATGTTATAAGCATCCTGCTGTCCTTAAAATGTGTGATCGCACAAATGTGTGTGTGTACTAAACCAATTGAGTTCAGATTCTAAAATAAAAGCTTTTTCTACTTTCTAGCCTCAAACATGTTGGATTGACTGCTTTCACTGTTACAGCTACTGTAGTGATTCAGGGCCCGTCATATACAAGCTTATAACCACTGGTAGAGGTAATATACTCAGATTATTTAAAGTACCAAAAAGTCCTGCATTCACAATTCTACAAAGTAGTATCAGCAGAATGAACCCAAAATATATAAAAGTAAAAGTTCTCATTATGCAGACAAATGGCAAACATGGCTTATTAGATATAACATTTATAGATATCAAAATATACTTTTAAACTCTTAAAGTGCCACTTACACATACTGGAATCACATTGTCCTTCATTTTAGGACACCTCACCTCCCTGTTGTTCGGTTTGGAATAGTATTGGTGGGGGATGCTGTGGACCAGCTCAGCCTTTAGCCACGGTGATGGGCTTAGGATTTTGGAATGACTGTAAAGATTGGGCTCAAGCTTGTGGAAATTCGAAATCAATATAGGACTGTGCATTAGCGAGCTAGACAGCTTTTTCCAAGTCACAATTATTATTTTAAAAAGTGTTTATCGCGATATCATATCATCCCATCCCTTGTTGTGAGATGATTAAGGCTGGAAAGAAGAATAAATACGCATTTATTATAAAAACTTTGCTCTGCTCTGTGCTTTATTGTGAAATACTGTATAACTGTACCTCTTTGAAACCATCTGAGATACCTAGAACAGAAATAACTGAACTCATAGGAGCCACAGAAATGTGACACTGCTGTTTTTCTAAGGGGCCACAAGCTATAAAAAAGGTTAGTAACCACTGGTTTAATGTTTCACAATGCATTGTATTTCATAGACTGATGTTATTTTTATGTAGGTGTAAACCTTTATCTGAAACCAGACATTATAGCTGAGATAAAGTGTGTGTGGAGTAGAAGCACATGAAGCCTGCAGCATGTTATCACTGTATGTCACACAGTAAATGCCCATACATCCCTTTAAAGCAGTGCAGTGACTTCCTCACAGTGGCATCATATTCTTGGCCTCCTCCTCATAAATGTCTGGTATCTGTCCCATGGAGGAGGGAACCATTCGGACAGAGTTGCACCCCCGAAGCTCCATCTCATAGCCGATGAGCTGCTCCCAGAAGCCGTTATTGGGCCTCACCATGGGTCGACAGGTCTTCACCCACCCGTGGGCCTCCAGGAGAGTCACACCGCGGTGCTTCAGCAGGTAGGCCATGCACAGGGCGGCGGAGCGGCTCACCCCGGCGTTGCAGTGCACCAGCGTGCGGCCACCGCGCTCTGCCGTGTGCTGGACTTTATCTGCAACCTGGTCGAAGTGATCCCGGAGAGGAGACACCGGGGAGTCAGAGACGGGGATGTGGATGTACTCCTCCACCCCGGGAGGAGGAGGGCAGCTGCTTTTGGTCTCAGTAACGTTCACGATGCAGGTTATCTGGCCCCGAGTCAGCTGGGAGGGGTCATTAGCCGCTCTGCCGTTACTCAGGTAAAGATGGTCGGTGACTCGGCACAGGCCTGAGAGCCCTGCAGGACCCGACTGATGCATAAACCTAAATATATTGCTGCAGCACAGCTGTCTCACCGAAAACTAGTTGTCCGCTTGAGCCACCGCGGGTCTTGCGACTGTCTGTTGTAAGGCAGCCCAGGAAGGTCAAATTTGTGCGAGCGCGCACGCTGTCGCCCCCAGCTGGATGGGGTTTTCATAAGGCAGACATATTGGATAGACATAACATTTTTTTTTAATTTAGAAGCTAAACAAACAAACAAAAAACAAACACATTGCATGAGTAGAGTGACTTTGTTTCTTCCTTGTAGTTTTTTCCCTAATTCTGTAATTTTTGCTTAATATCTCAATGAAAAGGAAGGACAAACATGCTGATATGTCCTGCTTTAGAAAAAAAAAGGCAGGATAGACAGAGGATGACAAACTCACACAGGGAGGAGATGAGGAAATAGGGGGAATAGAAAAGGGTAAAATGAAGATCCAAGCTAAAACATGAGACAGAATCAGAAACTGATAGAGGTTGGAGATGAAGACAGACACACATAATGGTGTAGTGGTGCCTGGAGAAGTGGATACACTCTTAATGTAAGCCCCCCTCAAATTTTTTTAAGCTGCCTGTCCAGCAAAGGATAAACACCCTGTGATATAAACAGTAACTTGTAAGACTACTCTTGCATATTCAGTTATCCCAAAAATAGACCAGTAGTATTTACACACTGCTGCTTAACTTCTGCTGCGTTACTTCAGGGAATAAGGATCAGTATGAAATTAACAGAGGTGCAGAATTTGCAATCAATACTGACCACATACACGGGTGAGCAAACTACATAATGATGCATTTTAAGTGAAGTGTCCCTTACTCCATCCACTCTGTGCACATCAGAGGGATTTAGAAGTAGGTATACACAATGCTGACTGAAAAATAAGTTGGTATACTCTTGCGTATACCCTGCACTACTAGTTACTGTTCATTTTATCTTACCTACAGAAGTAGTAGTTACTTTTATGTGTGGATAATATTCATGTGGATGTGCAGAGAAAATGAAATCACATGTGACAAAGCCTCGCTGAGAACTGCAGACACCATTGTGGTGGAATCGTCTGTATCTTGTTTCTTTATTTTTAAGTTCAGCATATGATAATATTATTGTGCCATTTACTCTGGGAGTCCCATCCCTACACAAAATATCAGTTTGTCACTGTAGTTGCCCCTTCCTCTAGCACCACCCTAAGGCCCAAAAGTGTACCACCCAAATCTCTGAACAATGTGAGACTCACCAGAAAAGAAATCCCTTTGATAAGCCTCTCCTTCAACGCAGCCTCAGGCCAAAATGTTTCTCCCAACAAGTGGAAAAGATCTCAAATAAGAATGTCATCCATTTCAGTTTTCACATGAGAATTACAGCCTCATTAAAAGCTGTGTGCATATTCCATGTCTTTTAAAGTCCTCAGCAAAAGCAAATATTTTTCATTAGTAAGTAACATATTTATTATTATTACCATCATACTTTATTATTTAGCTGTTTCACATTTTAAAACACTACAAAAAAAAAACAACTCTACAAAATTCCACAATTACAGAAACATCACAGGAATCACTATAAAAGAGTCACAATGAAACCATTAGAAAAAGTTTAAAATAAGCTGTTTGTCACTGATATTAATGTAAAGCAGCATCTTATCATCACAGCAGAGCTGCATATTGACTCTTGTCATTCTACTCTTGAGCTACTAAAATAAATGAGAAGCAGAAAAAGAGAATAAGTGTCTTTATGCTTGTGAACGTGGAGAAATCAGATAATAATGAACATTCATACCAACCATTAGTAATGTCCCAGTGTGTCCCTTTAAGTCAAATTATAGCAGAATACTGTAGTGTGTGGGTTTTTTGTGGTTTGAAGTGGTTGCTGTGTGTTAGCTGGTGGTGCCTGCAGGCAGTCCTCGGTTGCCCAGGAAACACAGATGGTGGATGAAGGGCGCGCATACAAAAGACCATAAACCTGTGGCAGCAGCTGGAGACCGAGACCCCTGATTAATTCAGGTCTGTGCAGTCCGGCTTAGTCAAAGACGTCGCTGTTCTCTTTAATACCTCCCATCCATTTCCTTTGTCCCGCGGCTTCCGTCTCCACTTTATCCTGTTTTTTCCCGGACTGGACTCTCGTCAGTGCGCAGCTGTTGTTGGCACTCCCACATCTGCTTGTCTCAGCTCGGCAGCCATATAGACGACGCTCCGCCGCGGTTCGTGTTAGTGCGTAGCGTTAGTTTAAGGGGGGAACCAGCCTTTTACTGCAGGCAGATAAAACCTCCAACTGCACACACACACACACACACGGTGTGTATTTGCAGCTTACCCTCAGCATGGGGGAAAAGAAGGAAACGAAGAAGAGGAAGAAGAGGAAGATGTGATCCTTTCGCACCGTTTGATGCTGCGGGACAGGTGGATCTGCATGTGGAACCTGGAGATCGCTGGTAGGAACAAAATACACTATACAGTTCATATACTTCTTTTACATTCAGCCTTTTATTTCTCCGAACAAACCGGTTGAATTGTTTTAGATTAGATGTTTTAGATTACACATACATTGACTGCAGAGGAGGGCCTAGTCTCTTGTCTCAATCTGACATCCTTGCAGGATTTATGAATATTAAAATAGGCTTATCTGTAGAAAAGCTGTTTCTGGTGGACACATGCCAGATTAGAATCTTAATCTTGCTGTATATTATATACAGTAAGGCCTGCATTTTTTTTTTTATCTCCAGATAGACAGTATCCAGTAACATAAGCTGCAGCCGCTGTGTTTTCACTGCTTGGCCAGAAATATCAAACAAATTCAACTCAAGCCTTAGCTATGGTCTTAAGTTCTGATTGTATGTATTTATTAACATTTTAGGTGAAGTGGGCCATTAAACACAAAAACCTAGTAAACCTGTAACATTACTACTACATTTATGATCAGCTGTAAAAGAGCTTTATTCAGTATGCTTTTATTTTGTAGGTAACCCAATGCTGCATGGACTTTGCACTGGATTCATCTGCAGAGCTGCTGTCAAGTCACTAGTGAGAACCCTGGGAGGATCCAAACGGGAACCAACAGCAGGACAGGTTATGTGTACAGGCCGGATTACTTTTATTAAAATCATGAGGGAGGTTCATTTTTCACTGGCACACAATGCCAGATGGAAAATTTATTTGAATACAGATAACTGATATCAATGACTCCCATCTCCAGTGACGTATATATTTAACAGTGGGTGTATTTCAGCCTCATTTGTGTCTAAATAAAAAAAGCAGTAAGGAGAAACAAGTAATCCCTGAGGGTGTCTTGGGTGGACAGTTGGGTCGCGTCCCACTTTTCTGCTGCTTGTGTTGTGTGTTCCTCTCCAGTTCCACTGATGGAAAAGCAGATCGGGGCTCGCACCGGACGCCACCAGCGGCATCTCCCCATCAACCCTCTACCGTGCTGCCTCACAGACTGCTACAGGATCAGTAGATTTACGCCACGGTGACTTTTATTTCCCTCATATTCACTTTACACACCACACTGTGACTTGTTATAGAGGTCCACATGAATATAAACTGCAGAGCCAATTTCCCTATCTTGCTTTTGCCCACATGCAGGATGTGTCCCTGTGTATGTGTGCTAAGCCTCTGTGCTGGCTGAAAGTGCAGATAAATAGGGAACAGATAGAACATGGGAGATTAGTTATGTGTTAAATCGCTGCCATATTTTCCTCTGTATGCTATCCTTTCCAGGATTATGGTTAAGAGAGGAGATAAACCAACCTGAAAGTGGAGACCATGACCAAATCAGATTAGCATAATCAGCTTTTCACATTCATTATTCAACATTAGGCGGGATTATCCTGGGGAAAAAAATGTTTGTTAGACCAAGACAAAAATATGTCTTTTAAAAACATATCATGTAAAAGAGGCCAGGAACAGGAATGTGTTCACTGTGATACTGTAACATCTGTCATATCATTTCTCCTGCAGTGATGGATGCACGGTGCCATTACTGCTGTCCCGTACCTTCAGAAGGAGACGACCCGTGTTCAAGTGTTTCCCCAATGAGACGACTTCTTCTGCTTTTGTGCATCTGTGAAAATGGCTTTGAATAGTTAAAAATACAACCACAGCTTTGCAGTCAGTGTCAGGTGATCAGATTTAGCAGGAAGCTTATTTCAGCTATTTGTATCCAAAATAATTTACTGCAGTGTTCTTTCCTGTCTCCCTAAAATGTGTGTATTCTCCTGGCTGTGAGTAATACTAATACAGCTTCATCCACCCACGCTCTTATATTTTTTGGCTGATCAAGAACACTAACACTGCAGCCATCGAACACCTCTCACGCCTGTTTATTTCAGCTGCTGTGTGCAGTGCCCTCCTCTCTCTGTTACCGTGGTTACTCTGTTTAACACTTTGGTCACCCATTTTAAATTCACTAGAAGTGGTGTGTCTGTAATGAGGCTGTCCTGTGTGTTAACTTCTCACCAAAGCTTGCAAGTATCTATGCCAGATCCAGAACTGGAAAGCTCTGATATTTTAATCCTGCAGAGTTAAAATAAATCTGCTTAAGAGAGTGAGAATGACTAGTTTTCTCACATTTAGACAATGTGTAATTCACACAGTATGTTCTTTGTTTGTCTTGAAAACTCTTCATTTGGATGTGTTACCAATTATTCTTTTAATGTAGCGTACTGTGTGTTTTAGCTGTAGCGGGTGGGCGCGTGTGTGTCTGCGTGAGTGCATGTGTTTGTGTGCATGTGCTCTATTTGTGTGCGTGTTTGTTCCTATATGTGTGCATGTGTATCATGTCTGTCTGATCAAACAGACATTTGTAATGGTTGTGAAGCTACAAGCTGCTTTTCAGTGATTTTCTTACAACTGCAATGTTTAAAAAATGCCTGAAGCTCATTTTTTAGCCACTGGACGTACCAGAGAACGGATAAAAAAATATTTACAAGTGATTCTTAGCATTTGTTTCAACCTCACTGAAGTACCAGTTAGGTGGGGATTCCTGTGATTTAGATAATCACAAGAATGTCGCTGTAAATTAATGGTGTGTAGTTTTCTAAATGATGCCTGCTGGCATTAATTAAACTGTCATGGTGCCTACAGCCCCACCATCTGATACTTAAGCAAATTACAGCAAATGCTAATAATTATGTGCAAATAGCTTTTTACCCAGGTCTGGATTCTACTAACAGTATCTCACTAATATCTAACAATACTAATGTCTGCTAACAGTCGGATGATTACTAACCTGTACTCTGAATGCTGATGGCTGGCCTTGTTCTTTCTAACCCACTGACTAACCCTCTGCTTTATGCCCGCAGTCTGATGCACACACTCCTCTCTCATGATCCTGCAATCCTTCTTCTAGAAAAGACCAACTTTGGATTTGATTGTTAAAGGAGAAAATCAATGAAAACGGTTAAAGTGAGCAAGTCAAGAAGGGTTTCAGGACTTGGGAAGGAAAATGTTTATTAACCACTAGATGAAAAGAGGAGCAGAAACAGCTGCTGATACCAAACTGGGTTGACCACATACTTTGGAAGAATCCTCACAAAAACCGATTATGATCTGGTTCCAAATGATATTCCCTAAATTCACATCTTCAGAGACATCTTCTTTCTGTCTCTGCCTGTGCACTGTGTGGTCAACCTTCGCAGGTGAGTGCCTGGCTTGTTGTCAAGACACAAGCCAAGCAAACCTCCACTACTAACTTATTATGGTGTTGATACTAACCGTGGTGAGGCTGTAAAGGTCCACCTGTTGCTCTTACTAACATCTCTGTTCTTTCTGACTGAATTTCTATTGTGATGTCTGAAATCCAATTATTCCGTCTCTTTGTTAATTTTTAATTAAATCCAAGCATGCCTTGTGGTACTAGGGATGTTTATTAATTGATATTACATGGAAGCCTTTATCCAAAACATCTTCTGGTGCCATGAGTATGTACTTTTTTAGCAGCGGGCAGTCCCACTAAAGTCCCGTAGCTCTAACTGCGTCAGTGACGTGCTCAACACAAGTCTTTACAAAGAAGCTACTAACATTTCCTGAAGTTAAATTAACCGAAGAGCTTTTATTAGCTCTCTGCAAACTAACAAACTAACCTACTAATAAACTAATAATAACTAACTAAAATCACTAACGCTGTGATGGGTGACAGAATTAGTGAAGCACCCTTATTTTGAGGAGTTGCATCACTTTTTGAATGTACTAACAGACTTAAGTTTTGAAGAGCTATTGACGTTATTTGAATGTGCCTGTGTGTGTGTGTGTGTGTGTGTGTGTGTGTGTGTGTGTGTGTGTGTGTGTGTGTGTGTGTGTGTGTGTGAAAGAGAGGACAGGAGAGTGTCTGTGTATATGTGTGCAAATGTATGAGCAAAAATGTCAAACTGGATGAGGTTTTTTTTCCTCACAAACAATATTTTAACATATTAATGAATATTGCATTAATTAGAGCATTTTTAGCCAGATTTATCCACAATTACTCTTTCAGCCTAGCGGAGCACCAGGATACCTATAAAACACAGCTTATACACAACCTCTCAAACAATACAATGTGTGGACGTATCATGCATGGAAAGAAAAAACAAATGAAATGTACTATTTTTGTAATTTATTGCTAATTTATCTATTGTCTTTACCACATTTTTATGTAATAAACAATTTTCACTCATAAATATATCATGTTATTATTGTATTGTTTCTTTTCTCAGATATTTACATTAATAATTGAAACCTATGGAGTCTAATACAAAAGATCCCATCCAGGCAAGTGTTCAAATTGTCCACAACAAGAACAACAGGTAAAGTCCAGGAGCATGTTTTCAGCATTCAGCCAGGAACTTACAAGGTGTATTATTTATATGACGATATGGAGTACCAACTCCAGGAGTGCCATTATCTGAAATAACATCTTTACTCTCTTGATTGCTGTAATCATACAGAAGCATGATTACCAGCGCAGCATGTCTGACACATGCAGAGTCCTGCAGTATCCATTTTTATTAAAAATCTTGATTTACGGATCCACAAAATCTGTGCAATAACTAAGAGGTTTTCAGTTTTTTTTAGCTTCAAAGTGGTACGAGTTTGGATTTTTAAAGTCATGTAGGGAGGATTTATTATTTCCATGATGGCAGTGTTACAGCAGGGGGCAGCAGCTCATCAGGTTAGAGGATTTTGGTGCAGTGTAAAAAGCTCCTCAAGTTTATTGGATATTCTGCTTATATTTGCTGCTACTGGACAAACGTTTTCAATGGTGCAATGATTTCACACTCTTTACTGTTTATTTCGATGATGCACATGGTTAAAATACAAATTTCTGATTCAGTTTAAACCACATGCTTAATATGGGCTGTTTTTCTTTTAAAGTATTACAAAAGGGGTCCTCATAAATGTGAAACACAATTGGTTTGCGGTGCCAGTGGTACCATTTGCACCATCAGTGCAATCATGTAAAGTGTTGTATGCACTGTCAATTCCTCTTGTCTCGACTTTAAGTATTGTGGATTAATTGTAAGCACTGTTTTCACCTTAAAACCGAAGTCACAACACTGAAGACATGCACAGTCTGATAAACTTGCCATCTGGATTGAAGGACTATATTGTTTGCTGTTCTATGTGTAAGATTTCTTTTGGATATTGTACAGCAGATGTTTGTTATCAAGCTGTTTTTCTGTTGCATGCTGTGGGAGAAATTGTTCTAGTGAGAGATGCAAATCAAATTTTCTAATTTCCTTCCGCTGCATTCCTCATTGGTTGAGATACAAAGGTCAAAGGTCACCCCCCTCTGTATGAACTCTATATGGACAGCCACGACCAATGTGATTAATTCATTTATTTGTATTTATTAATATATGTCAAACAAGTTATTATAGCTGTGTTATACCCAGACTAAATATAATTCAGCCTAATGTGTTTTTGACAGAGACAGAAAGAAAAATGGAGGGGTTGAGTCGCACACTGAAACGCACACAAACGCACACACCTGGACCTTCATTCCATCGTCCTCCTCCTTTGCTTGTGTCAGACAGAGGGGGCTCTGCTCTGCCCCCCATTTGAGCCCGATGTGATCCAGATGACAGGGGTTTCCAAAGGTAGGAGCAGCGGGGCCCGGGGTCTTCATGGGTCAGCTGTAATTCACCACAGAGCTCAGAGAGCAGGGTCTTAACACACACAAAACCCCTCACAGAACAGTGAGGCTCCACTTAAAGTCTTAAATATCACACAAACTCCAGTTCAAAGGCAGGTATGTTGGCATGAAAAACATTAATCGGCTTAATGATGTTCCCTAGCGAATGGTTAGTTTTGCCAGTCTTTGAAAACACACTAATGCTCCACTTTACAGGGACTTGGATGCCACAGAGGCATTTGTGGCCCAGAGAGACTCGTGGAGAAGAAACAGTGCGGGCTGGCAAGAAATAATTCCAGAATTATCTCATCGTTTCAGAATTTCTGAAAGTTTTACCGATTATCTATTTCCGTTTGACTCTTTCCTTTAGTAAAATAAGGAATGTCTGTGCGCAGTGCATATGTGTGTGTCTGTCTGTATTTATGTGTGTGATCCAGAAGCAGCTCTCTGTAACCAGAGCCTCCATCACAGGGAGGATGTCTGCTGAAATAACAGCTCACTGCCTCCAATGGAATTTGTCTGTAAGCTGTAAAAGATGGCGAGGGAGAGGAAGAAAAAGTGAGGGAAGTATTTCTCTCTGTGGCGCTGTAATCAGCAGAGCTCGGCCCTGTGGAGTTTAAAATAGTAAATCCGCTCAAAGACAGTTCAAGGACTGAATATAAATTGCTCTCCCTGCAGGTATATGTGTTTGTACGTGTCTCTGCTTGTTGTTCGAATGAAGATGTGAATCTGGTTATAATGTTGAGGTTTTATATTTTTAGGGTACATGTCTTATTTAGGCCTGTATTCACAGTTGAAACCACCCATGCATATATATATGTTTGCACATACACATAAACTAATGTAAGTATGTGTAGGATTTAGTCGCATCTAGCGGTGAGGTAGCCAATTGCAACCGACTGAATACCCCCAGCCTCACCCTCACCTTCCACGTGTGTAGCAGAAACTACGGTGGCTGCAAAACTTGCAAACAACACATGTCTGTCAGTGTTTGGTTTGCTCGATCTGGGCTGTACTGTAGAAACATGGTGGTTCAACATGGTTCAACATAACTTCATAGGAGAGGACCTGTTCCTTCTGTAGATATAAAGGGCTCATTCTTAGGTAACCAAAACCCAACAATTCTTATTTTCATATGAATATTATATTCTGCCAATAGATCCCCCTTAATGTTATACACTGTACCTTTAAGTGGTGAGATCCTGTATTTCTAAATATACTGGCGATGGAGAGCACCAGACAAACCATACAAACACCTCCTTGCAAAATGTCAACCGCAAACCATTTCAAACTCCACTGACACAACACCCCCGAACAGGTCTGTCCTTCCAGGATTTTGTGGGCTTTTTATGGGATTGTTGAAGAGTTCATGGCATCTTTTCTAAAAAATTGCAACGCATATTACAATTTTTTTGTATTATTTTGCAATGAAATTGTGGATATACAGTAAAAATTGCAAAAAATAGCTGCATTTTTTGTATAAATCATAAAAATCAAAGCCAGCTTGTTCCAATGAGAATAAAATCCCACTGTTTGGACAGGGTAAATGTGATGTGTGTGTTCGTGTCATGCACATTTCTGTGTGGTCTGCATCTTCACAACTAGAAAAAAGGGTTTGGTGTTTTGACGTGTGGCTCAATGTTTTCCGTGGGAAACTATTGAACTAAACTGATTGATCAGATTTGTGGAAAAGTTGCGGTGATGGACAAAATGGCAAGATCATGCAAAATTCACAGGGACTAGTTTAATTTGCATTTATTGTTGCAATCACATATATGTGTGGTCGGACTGAAGTGCTTAAATATGTTGGCCCCAATCCCCATGCAGCCCCCATGTGAGTTGCATTTCATAAAACAGGCATTTTCGAGTCCTGAAACCCGATTGTGGTTTTTTGATTTGTTAAAATTGTTTTTAATGCTGTTTCTGAAATCCAAATTTTGCAACAAAGCAAAATTGTACTTATTTTTTAAAAGTTGCATAGTTCTTCATAAAGTTAGCCCTTGCAATCAGCCACATAGCGGATACAGACAGACCTCAGAGCTCATGGCCGGCGCTCATATTATTTTGGGCCCCAATACAAGTATTGGAGAGCTGGAATGGAAGTGGAGAGCTGCAGAATTTAGGTCAGGGGTTGCGGGTCTTTAAATGTACAATAGGGGCTTTAACACAAGGGCAGGGGGAGTTCATGAAAATGGCTTGCAGACTTTTAAAACATTTGAAGAAGAAGGAAAATCTAGCTAATCTCTATGAACAAGGCAATCTCTGTTTTGAACCAGGCTGCAGGTTCTTCGGATCAACAAAACATCCAAGGACTGACATAACTGAGAACCACAGAACATAATGTGGTTCAAGTATTTTGGAAAATCTGAGAGTACAAATTCTTGTTCTGGTTTATGTTGATGCAAAATTACTTGCATTCTTGTAGCAGAGTGTTCTGCAGTGTTATCCCACAACCACATTGCTGATTCTTGCCTCACATCCTACTCTTTCTGCTTCTAAACTTTTAAATCTTCCTCCATTAAACTATTCGACACGTGATCGGCTTATATTAAACCATTTGACACATGATCTGCTTCCATTAAACTATTTGACACATGATCTACTTGGTCAGACCGTTTCCTCCTCCCTTCTGCCTCTTTCTTCCAAACAGTAAGTCCTGTTAATAGTGTGAAAATGGTGATATTAAGTCAGGGACCTGGTGCTTCCTAAATGTCTTTCTTTCCCCTGCCTGCAGCCAACATTCAGAGACTAGATAAGTGGACAGTCGGAGAGGGCCAATCTGTCCTGCTGGCTGGTGAATGATGGACAGTAATTAAAAGTTAGCTAATAACCTCTTCACACCTGACATTTCAACAGGGAGGTCCTGGACACCATTATCTACATATAGATTAAACAGCGTAATTGGCAGGGAGATAGGGTTAGGAGGATCGCGAAAGGAAAAGGAGAAAAAAAAAGACCAGGCCATCGCCAAACCATTAAGCAGAATATCTGAGTGACACTCTGATTTTGCTCCTCTTGCTAATGCGACAGGAATTGAGCTGAACTAAAATGCTAAATGAATGAAGCCTATCTCGGTGTGGTTATTACCGGGGCAAACATCGGCCATGGAAAATAGCTTTAATTTCATAATAATTGCTAGATGGACGTGACTCGTTAGAGACACAATATGAGAGTGAAAGGAGAGAGAGAGAGAGGTGGGGAGGAAGGTGGAAGGGAGGGGGAGCACGGGAGGAACTCTACTGAGGATGAATGCTGTTAGTTGGGCTGCACCACTTTTGCTCCCACACACTGCAATTTACACAAACTCATTGATAAGTGATACTGTGGACTGATGAGATGGAAATGGAGAGAATTAGTTGCACTGTCATTAGCACTGTGGAAGTATGAAATACTTAATTTAGAAACTAAAACATCCCTCAATGAGTTTCTATGCAGGTTCACATAGTTTAACACTTTTATAGTTCCCACAGGTTTGCATTTAACACTAATAGGCTATTAAACATGCATCACATCATAGCATTCACAGTTTCTGATGGCTTTACTAAT